ATTTTAGTAAATGAAAAACTCAGAAGTAACTTAAAGAGTACAAACTCATCATTCACAGATTTCACACTTCTTTTACCAAGTCATTGTGTGCTCTTGTGCTCAGGGGCTTGTTGACACCAAGGACTAATGATGGAAGCCATGTGCTGCGTAAAGCTCTCTATCCCCTGATGTGTCAGGATTGTTCTTTGGCTCAGCTGTGCATTGCTACACTTAAAAGCATTTAAATACACAGTGTATAAAAGAGTGGATAATCAAAAATCTTGAAAATACATCTGTTTCCGTTACCTGCCAGTGATTAAGAAGAACAAAGTAAGGATGACCAAAAGGGTGAATCCCCCAACCGCGGCAGTAGCGATCACCAGAATTTGCCCTTGTTCTGCTGCCATATCAGAAGCTGAAACACAGAAGGGTAATATTAAAATTTACCCAAATTTATGGTAAACATAGTACCTGTTTGAAAATATGGTAATGGATACCAAACAAGCCCAACATATTTTGCCTTTGTTTCGGAATTCATATATAGGATGCTAACCCCAAATACATGAGCTTTGTCTAAGGGATGAAGAGTTGAGGTCATCACCCACCACAATAGCACTTCTTCTTTCCTATAAAAAATATGAAAAAAATAGACTTATTCTTAGTACCCTACATTTTAAGATTAAATATGTGTTACAGAATTAAACAAAAAGGTTTTGTTTTATATAATTGCTTATTTTAATCTCCTTTAAAACCTTTAAGCCAGTATACAAGGCTTCATGGACTGTTCCATTATCTGTTTCTAAAAAGTAGCAAGACTGTTCTCTCATTCCTTTCAAGAATGATCTTCTAAAGATAGCCTCTTCAACAAATGGTGCTGGGAAAACTGAAAATCCATATGTAGGAAAATGAAATTGAATCCCTGTCTTTCATCCTGCACAAAACTCAAAGTGTATCAAGGGCCTAGTAGACCCTGCACCCACTAGAAGAAAATGTAGGCCCAATTCTCCATCATGTTGGCTTAGGAACTGACTTTATCAACAAGACTCCTAACGCATAAGAAGTAAAATTAATATCAATAAATGGTATGATATCAAACTAAAAAGCTTCTTCCTAGCAAAGGAAACAACTAAGAATGTGAACAGAATGGGAGAAAATCTTTGCCACCTCAGTTAAAGCATTAATCTCCAGGGTATAAAATAACTCAAAAAACTTAATAACCCCAAACCAAATAACCCAATTAATAAATAGACAAAGGAATGGAA